GGGTGGATTCTGCATGAATAGAAGAACTCGTGCCGTGGGATGCAATGGTGGTCTCTGAGGGAGACGATGGTGGCGAGGTCCGATCCGGAGAGGATACAGTCGGCATGGAAGGAGACGTGGCCAGGGGAGATTCGGATGCTGGGGAAGCTGTTTTGGTCACTTCTGCTGAGGTCAGCACGGGCTTTGTGGGAGAAACCTTGCTGAAGGTTGGCGTGGTTTGACCTTCAAGAGACGTGAAGCTGGTCTCCACAGTGGAAGGCGACCTCATCGGGGTGGAACCGGTCACCTCCAGAGTCGAGGTTCTGAGCTGCACAGCCGTAGGAGATGTTGCCGAAGAGAGGGAAAGGCTGGTCCCCTCAACTGCTGTTGATTCTACCTTGGCTGGAGGACGGGTGGACCGGAAGGAGACGGTGGTTTCCTTGGTAAGGGCAATGGAAGAGTGGTGACTGGAAGGGGAAGAAGTTGACGGGGAAACGGAGGTGCCTCGGGCAGAGCTGAACTCCGGTTTCCCTGTGGAAGAGCCAGAAAGCAGGTGTTGAGTTGTGGTCTCCTGCGGTGAGGTTCCTTTCGGCTGCATGGTAGAAGAGTGGGCGAGGGAGGGACTAGTTTGTTCCTTGGCGGAGGTTAGCTCAGTCATGCACAGTAGCTGTCGTGGTGACCAATAGACAGGCCACAGCCTATGCGGAGGACATGGTTTCTAGGGACTGCAGTGCTCGAGCGCATGTTGTCGAATGGAGCAAAGAGGTGGTGCTTCCTTCAGCTGGGGGGAGTCTGCCATTGATAGAAGAACTCGTGCCGTTGGGATGCAATGGTGGTCTATGAGGGAGACGATTGGCGGCGAGGTCCGTCCGGAGGAGGATACGGTCGCCAGGAAGAGACGTGGCCAGGCGATTCGGATGCTGGGGAAGCTGTTTGGTCACTTCGGCTTGAAGGTACTAGATCGGCCTTAGTGAGAAACCTTGAATGAAGGTGGCTGGTTTGGACCTCAAGAGACGTGAAGCTGGTCTCCACAGTGGAAGGCGACCTCATCGGGGTGTGGTAGATACCGGTCACCTCCGATAGTGAGGTTACTGAGTGCACCAGCCGTAGGAGATGTTGCGAAGAGAGGGAAAGGGCCTGCCGTACCCTCAAACGCTGTTGATTCGACCTTGGCTGGAGGACGGGTGGACCGGAAGGAGACGGTGGGTTCCTTGGTAAGGGCAATGGAAGAGTGGTGACTGGAAGGGGAAGAAGTTGACGGGGAAACGGAGGTGCCTCGGGCAGAGCTGACCTCCGGTTTCCCTGTGGAAGAGCCAGAAGGCGGGTGGTGAGTTGTGGTCTCCTGCGGTGAGATTCCTTTCGGCTGCATGGTAGAAGAGTGTGCGAGGGAGGGACGAGTTTGTTCCTTGGCGGAGGTTAGCTCAGTCATGCCAACAGTAGCTGTCGTGGTGACAATAGAGGCCACCGACTCTGCGGAGGACATGGTTTCTGGGACTGCAGTGCTCGAGCGTGTCGAATGGAGCGAAGAGGTGGTGCCTCCTTTAGCTGGGGTGGATTCTGCATGAATAGAAGAACTCGTGCCGTGGGATGCAATGGTGGTCTCTGAGGGAGACGATGGCGGCGAGGTCTGATCCGGAGAGGATACGGTCGGCATGGAAGGAGACGTGGCCAGGGGAGATTCGTATGCTCGGGAAGCTGTTTTTGTCACTTCTGCTGAGGTCAGCTCGGCCTTAGTGGGAGAAACCTTGCTGAAGGTTGGCGTGGTTTGACCTTCAAGAGACGTGAAGCTGGTCTCCACAGTGGAAGGCGACCTCATCGGGGTGGAACCGGTCACCTCCACAGTCGAGGTTCTGAGCTGCACAGACGTAGGAGATGTTGCCGAAGAGAGGGAAGGGCTGGTCCCCTCAACTGCTGTTGATTCTACCTTGGCTGGAGGACGGGTGGACCGGAAGGAGACGGTGGTTTCCTTGGTAAGGGCAAGGGAAGAGTGGTGACTGGAAGGGGAAGACGTTGACGGGGAAACGGAGGTGCCTCGTGCAGAGCTGACCTCAGGTTCCCCTGTGGAAGAGCCAGAAGGCGGGTGTTGAGTTGTTGTCTCCTGCGGTGAGGTTCCTTTCGGCTGCATGGTAGAAGAGTGGGCGAGGAAGGGACTAGTTTGTTCCTTGGCGGAGGTTAGCTCAGTCATGCCAACAGTAGCTGTCGTGGTAACAATAGAGGCCACCGACTCTGCGGAGGACATGGTTTCTGGGACTGCAGTGCTTGAGCGTGTCGAATGGAGCGAAGAGGTGGTGCCTCCTTCAGATGGGGTGGATTCTGCATGAATAGAAGAACTCGTGCCATGGGATGCAATGGTGGTCTCTGAGGGAGACGATGGCGGCGAGGTCCAAGCCGGAGAGGATACGGTCGGCATGGAAGGAGACGTGGCCAAGGGAGACTCGGATGCTGGGGAAGCTGTTTTGGTCACTTCTGCTGAGGTCAGCTCGGCCTTAGTGGGAGAAACCTTGCTGAAGGTTGGCGTGGTTTGACCTTCAAGAGACGTGAAGCTGGTTTCCACAATGGAAGGCGACCTCATCGGGGTGGAACCGGTCACCTCCAGAGTCGAGTTTCTGATCTGCACAGCCATAGGAGATGTTGCCGAAGAGAGGGAAGGGCTGGTCCCCTCAACTGCTGTTGATTCGACCTTGGCTGGAGGACGGGTGGACCGGAAGGAGACGGTGGTTTCCTTGGTAAGGGCAATGGAAGAGTGGTGACTGGAAGGGGAATACGTTGACGGGGAAACGGAGGTGCCTCGTGCAGAGCTGACCTCAGGTTCCCCTGTGGAAGAGCCAGAAGGCGGGTGTTGAGTTGTTGTCTCCTGCGGTGAGGTTCCTTTCGGCTGCATGGTAGAAGAGTGGGCGAGGAAGGGACTAGTTTGTTCCTTGGCGGAGGTTAGCTCAGTCATGCCAACAGTAGCTGTCGTGGTGACAATAGAGGCCACCGACTCTGCGGAGGACATGGTTTCTGGGACTGCAGTGCTCGAGCGTGTCGACTGGAGCAAAGAGGTGGTGCCTCCTTCAGCTGGGGTGGATTCTGCATGAATAGAAGAACTCGTGCCGTGGGATGCAATGGTGGTCTCTGAGGGAGACGATGGCGGCGAGGTCCGATCCGGAGAGGATACGGTCGGCATGGAAGGAGACGTGGCGAGGGGAGATTCGGATGCTGGGGACGCTGTTTTGGTCACTTCTGCTGAGGTCAGCTCGGCCTTAGTGGGAGAAACCTTGCTGAAGGTTGGCGTGGTTTGACCTTGAAGAGACGTGAAGCTGGTCTCCACAGTGGAAGGCGACCTCATCGGGGTGGAACCGGTCACCTCCATAGTCGAGGTTCTGAGCTGCACAGCCGTAGGAGATGTTGCCGAAGAGAGGGAAGGGCTGGTCCCCTCAACTGCTGTTGATTCGACCTTGGCTGTAGGACGGGTGGACCGGAAGGAGACGGTGGTTTCCTTGGTAAGGGCAATGGAAGAGTGGTGACTGGAAGGGGAAGAAGTTGACGGGGAAACGGAGGTGCCTCGGGCAGAGCTGACCTCCGGTTTCCCTGTGGAAGAGCCAGAAGGCGGGTGTTGAGTTGTGGTCTCCTGGGGTGAGGTTCCTTTCGGCTGCATGGTAGAAGAGTGGGCGAGGGAGGGACGAGTTTGTTCCTTGGCGGAGGTTAGCTCAGTCATGCCAACAGAAGCTGTCGTGGTGACAATAGAGGCCACCGACTCTGCGGAGGACATGGTTTCTGGGACTGCAGTGCTCGAGCGTGTCGAATGGAGCGAAGAGGTGGTGCCTCCTTTAGCTGGGGTGGATTCTGCATGAATAGAAGAACGCGTGCCGTGGGATGCAATGCTGGTCTCTGAGGGAGACGATGGCGGCGAGGTCCGATCCGGAGAGTATAACGGTCATCATGGAGTAGTACGTGGCCAGGGGAGAATTCTTATGCTGGGAAGCTGGTTTTGGTCCTTCGCTGATGTCCTCGGCATTAATATTGGGAGAACCTTGCTGAAGGTTGGCGTGGTTTGACCTTCAAGGAGACGTGAAGCTGTCTCCACAGTGGTGAAGGCGACCTCATTGGGGTGGAACCGGTTCACCTCAGAGTCAGGTCTGAGTGCAAAGACCGTAGGAGATGTTTGCCGAAGAGAGGGAAAGGCTGGTCCCCTCAACTGCTGTTGATTCTACCTTGGCTGGAGGACGGGTGGACCGGAAGGAGACGGTGGTTTCCTTGGTAAGGGCAATGGAAGAGTGGTGACTGGAAGGGGAAGAAGTTGACGGGGAAACGGAGGTGCCTCGGGCAGAGCTGACCTCCGGTTTCCCTGTGGAAGAGCCAGAAAGCAGGTGTTGAGTTGTGGTCTCACTCCCCTTGGCCACCGGTTTTTTGGAGGGTTCCTTTCCGGCTGCATTGTAGAAGAGTGGGCGAGGAGGGACTAGTTTTGTGTTCCTTGGCGAGTGTTAGCTCAGTCATGCACAAAAACCAACAGTAGCTGTCGTGGTGACAATAGAGGCCACCGACTCTGCGGAGGACATGGTTTCTGGGACTGCAGTGCTCGAGCGTGTCGACTGGAGCAAAGAGGTGGTGCCTCCTTCAGCTGGGGTGGATTCTGCATGAATAGAAGAACTCGTGCCGTGGGATGCAATGGTGGTCTCTGAGGGAGACGATGGCGGCGAGGTCCGATCCGGAGAGGATACGGTCGGCATGGAAGGAGACGTGGCGAGGGGAGATTCGGATGCTGGGGACGCTGTTTTGGTCACTTCTGCTGAGGTCAGCTCGGCCTTAGTGGGAGAAACCTTGCTGAAGGTTGGCGTGGTTTGACCTTCAAGAGACGTGAAGCTGGTCTCCACAGTGGAAGGCGACCTCATCGGGGTGGAACCGGTCACCTCCAGAGTCGAGGTTCTGAGCTGCACAGCCGTAGGAGATGTTGCCGAAGAGAGGGAAGGGCTGGTCCCCTCAACTGCTGTTGATTCAACCTTGGCTGGAGGACGGGTGGACCGGAAGGAGACGGTGGTTTCCTTGGTAAGGGCAATGGAAGAGTGGTGACTGGAAGGGGAAGAAGTTGACGGGGAAACGGAGGTGCCTCGGGCAGAGCTGACCTCCGGTTTCCCTGTGGAAGAGCCAGAAGGCGGGTGTTGAGTTGTGGTCTCCTGCGGTGAGATTCCTTTCGGCTGCATGGTAGAAGAGTGTGCGAGGGAGGGACGAGTTTGTTCCTTGGCGGAGGTTAGCTCAGTCATGCCAACAGTAGCTGTCGTGGTGACAATAGAGGCCACCGACTCTGCGGAGGACATGGTTTCTGGGACTGCAGTGCTCGAGCGTGTCGAATGGAGCGAAGAGGTGGTGCCTCCTTTAGCTGGGGTGGATTCTGCATGAATAGAAGAACTCGTGCCGTGGGATGCAATGGTGGTCTCTGAGGGAGACGATGGCGGCGAGGTCTGATCCGGAGAGGATACGGTCGGCATGGAAGGAGACGTGGCCAGGGGAGATTCGTATGCTCGGGAAGCTGTTTTTGTCACTTCTGCTGAGGTCAGCTCGGCCTTAGTGGGAGAAACCTTGCTGAAGGTTGGCGTGGTTTGACCTTCAAGAGACGTGAAGCTGGTTTCCACAATGGAAGGCGACCTCATCGGGGTGGAACCGGTCACCTCCAGAGTCGAGGTTCTGAGCTGCACAGCCAGAGGAGATGTTGCCGAAGAGAGGGAAGGGCTGGTCCCCTCAACTGCTGTTGATTCGACCTTGGCTGGAGGACGGGTGGACCGGAAGGAGACGGTGGGTTCCTTGGTAAGGGCAATGGAAGAGTGGTGACTGGAAGGGGAAGAAGTTGACGGGGAAACGGAGGTGCCTCGGGCAGAGCTGACCTCCGGTTTCCCTGTGGAAGAGCCAGAAGGCGGGTGTTGAGTTGTGGTCTCCTGCGGTGAGGTTCCTTTCGGCTGCATGGTAGAAGAGTGGGCGAGGGAGGGACGAGTTTGTTCCTTGGCGGAGGTTAGCTCAGTCATGCCAACAGTAGCTGTCGTGGTGACAATAGCGGCCACCGACTCTGCGGAGGACAGGGTTTCTGGGACTGCAGTGCTCGAGCGTGTCGAATGGAGCGAAGAGGTGGTGCCTCCTTTAGCTGGGGTGGATTCTGCATGAATAGAAGAACTCGTGCCGTGGGATGCAATGGTGGTTTCTGAGGGAGACGATGGCGGCGAGGTCCGAGCCGGAGAGGATACGGTCGGCATGGAAGGAGACGTGGCCAAGGGAGACTCGGATGCTGGGGAAGCTGTTTTGGTCACTTCTGCTGAGGTCAGCTCGGCCTTAGTGGGAGAAACCTTGCTGAAGGTTGGCGTGGTTTGACCTTCAAGAGACGTGAAGCTGGTTTCCACAATGGAAGGCGACCTCATCGGGGTGGAACCGGTCACCTCCAGAGTCGAGTTTCTGATCTGCACAGCCATAGGAGATGTTGCCGAAGAGAGGGAAGGGCTGGTCCCCTCAACTGCTGTTGATTCGACCTTGGCTGGAGGACGGGTGGACCGGAAGGAGACGGTGGTTTCCTTGGTAAGGGCAATGGAAGAGTGGTGACTGGAAGGGGAAGACGTTGACGGGGAAACGGAGGTGCCTCGTGCAGAGCTGACCTCAGGTTCCCCTGTGGAAGAGCCAGAAGGCGGGTGTTGAGTTGTTGTCTCCTGCGGTGAGGTTCCTTTCGGCTGCATGGTAGAAGAGTGGGCGAGGAAGGGACTAGTTTGTTCCTTGGCGGAGGTTAGCTCAGTCATGCCAACAGTAGCTGTCGTGGTGACAATAGAGGCCACCGACTCTGCGGAGGACATGGTTTCTGGGACTGCAGTGCTCGAGCGTGTCGAATGGAGCGAAGAGGTGGTGCCTCCTTCAGCTGGGGTGGATTCTGCATGAATAGAAGAACTCGTGCCGTGGGATGCAATGGTGGTCTCTGAGGGAGACGATGGCGGCGAGGTCCGATCCGGAGAGGATACGGTCGGCATGGAAGGAGACGTGGCCAGGGGAGATTCGGATGCTGGGGAAGCTGTTTTGGTCACTTCTGCTGAGGTCAGCTCGGCCTTAGTGGGAGAAACCTTGCTGAAGGTTGGCGTGGTTTGACCTTCAAGAGACGTGAAGCTGGTTTCCACAATGGAAGGCGACCTCATCGGGGTGGAACCGGTCACCTCCAGAGTCGAGGTTCTGATCTGCACAGCCATAGGAGATGTTGCCGAAGAGAGGGAAGGGCTGGTCCCCTCAACTGCTGTTGATTCGACCTTGGCTGGAGGACGGGTGGACCGGAAGGAGACGGTGGTTTCCTTGGTAAGGGCAATGGAAGAGTGGTGACTGGAAGGGGAAGACGTTGACGGGGAAACGGAGGTGCCTCGTGCAGAGCTGACCTCAGGTTCCCCTGTGGAAGAGCCAGAAGGCGGGTGTTGAGTTGTTGTCTCCTGCGGTGAGGTTCCTTTCGGCTGCAGGGTAGAAGAGTGGGCGAGGAAGGGACTAGTTTGTTCCTTGGCGGAGGTTAGCTCAGTCATGCCAACAGTAGCTGTCGTGGTGACAATAGAGGCCACCGACTCTGCGGAGGACATGGTTTCTGGGACTGCAGTGCTCGAGCGTGTCGAATGGAGCAAAGAGGTGGTGCCTCCTTCAGCTGGGGTGGATTCTGCATGAATAGAAGAACTCGTGCCGTGGGATGCAATGGTGGTCTCTGAGGGAGACGATGGCGGCGAGGTCCGATCCGGAGAGGATACGGTCGGCATGGAAGGAGACGTGGCCAGGGGAGATTCGGATGCTGGGGAAGCTGTTTTGGTCACTTCTGCTGAGGTCAGCTCGGCCTTAGTGGGAGAAACCTTGCTGAAGGTTGGCGTGGTTTGACCTTCAAGAGACGTGAAGCTGGTCTCCACAGTGGAAGGCGACCTCATCGGGGTGGAACCGGTCACCTCCAGAGTCGAGGTTCTGAGCTGCACAGCCGTAGGAGATGTTGCCGAAGAGAGGGAAGGGCTGGTCCCCTCAACTGCTGTTGATTCTACCTTGGCTGGAGGACGGGTGGACCGGAAGGAGACGGTGGTTTCCTTGGTAAGGGCAATGGAAGAGTGGTGACTGGAAGGGGAAGAAGTTGACGGGGAAACGGAGGTGCCTCGGGCAGAGCTGACCTCCGGTTTCCCTGTGGAAGAGCCAGAAGGCGGGTGTTGAGTTGTGGTCTCCTGCGGTGAGGTTCCTTTCGGCTGCATGGTAGAAGAGTGGGCGAGGGAGGGACTAGTTTGTTCCTTGGCGGAGGTTAGCTCAGTCATGCCAACAGTAGCTGTCGTGGTGACAATAGAGGCCACCGACTCTGCGGAGGACATGGTTTCTGGGACTGCAGTGCTCGAGCGTGTCGAATGGAGCGAAGAGGTGGTGCCTCCTTTAGCTGGGGTGGATTCTGCATGAATAGAAGAACTCGTGCCGTGGGATGCAATGGTGGTGTCTGAGGGAGACGATGGCGGCGAGGTCCGATCCGGAGAGGATACGGTCGGCATGGAAGGAGACGTGGCCAGGGGAGATTCGGATGCTGGGGAAGCTGTTTTGGTCACTTCTGCTGAGGTCAGCTCGGCCTTAGTGGGAGAAACCTTGCTGAAGGTTGGCGTGGTTTGACCTTCAAGAGACGTGAAGCTGGTCTCCACAGTGGAAGGCGACCTCATCGGGGTGGAACCGGTCACCTCCAGAGTCGAGGTTCTGAGCTGCACAGACGTAGGAGATGTTGCCGAAGAGAGGGAAGGGCTGGTCCCCTCAACTGCTGTTGATTCGACCTTGGCTGGAGGACGGGTGGACCGGAAGGAGACGGTGGTTTCCTTGGTAAGGGCAATGGAAGAGTGGTGACTGGAAGGGGAAGAAGTTGACGGGGAAACGGAGGTGCCTCGGGCAGAGCTGACCTCCGGTTTCCCTGTGGAAGAGCCAGAAGGCGGGTGTTGAGTTGTGGTCTCCTGCGGTGAGGTTCCTTTCGGCTGCATGGTAGAAGCGTGGGCGAGGGAGGGACGAGTTTGTTCCTTGGCGGAGGTTAGCTCAGTCATGCCAACAGTAGCTGTCGTGGTGACAATAGAGGCCACCGACTCTGCGGAGGACATGGTTTCTGGGACTGCAGTGCTCGAGCGTGTCGAATGGAGCGAAGAGGTGGTGCCTCCTTCAGCTGGGGTGGATTCTGCATGAATAGAAGAACTCGTGCCGTGGGATGCAATGGTGGTCTCTGAGGGAGACGATGGCGGCGAGGTCCGATCCGGAGAGGATACGGTCGGCATGGAAGGAGACGTGGCCAGGGGAGATTCGGATGCTGGGGAAGCTGTTTTGGTCACTTCTGCTGAGGTCAGCTCGGCCTTAGTGGGAGAAACCTTGCTGAAGGTTGGCGTGGTTTGACCTTCAAGAGACGTGAAGCTGGTCTCCACAGTGGAAGGCGACCTCATCGGGGTGGAACCGGTCACCTCCAGAGTCGAGGTTCTGAGCTGCACAGCCGTAGGAGATGTTGCCGAAGAGAGGGAAGGGCTGGTCCCCTCAACTGCTGTTGATTCGACCTTGGCTGGAGGACGGGTGGACCGGAAGGAGACGGTGGTTTCCTTGGTAAGGGCAATGGAAGAGTGGTGACTGGAAGGGGAAGAAGTTGACGGGGAAACGGAGGTGCCTCGGGCAGAGCTGACCTCCGGTTTCCCTGTGGAAGAGCCAGAAGGCGGGTGTTGAGTTGTGGTCTCCTGCGGTGAGGTTCCTTTCGGCTGCATGGTAGAAGAGTGGGCGAGGGAGGGACTAGTTTGTTCCTTGGCGGAGGTTAGCTCAGTCATGCCAACAGTAGCTGTCGTGGTGACAATAGAGGCCACCGACTCTGCGGAGGACATGGTTTCTGGGACTGCAGTGCTCGAGCGTGTCGAATGGAGCGAAGAGGTGGTGCCTCCTTCAGCTGGGGTGGATTCTGCATGAATAGAAGAACTCGTGCCGTGGGATGCAATGGTGGTCTCTGAGGGAGACGATGGCGGCGAGGTCCGATCCGGAGAGGATACGGTCGGCATGGAAGGAGACGTGGCCAGGGGAGATTCGGATGCTGGGGAAGCTGTTTTGGTCACTTCTGCTGAGGTCAGCTCGGCCTTAGTGGGAGAAACCTTGCTGAAGGTTGGCGTGGTTTGACCTTCAAGAGACGTGAAGCTGGTCTCCACAGTGGAAGGCGACCTCATCGGGGTGGAACCGGTCACCTCCAGAGTCGAGGTTCTGAGCTGCACAGCCGTAGGAGATGTTGCCGAAGAGAGGGAAGGGCTGGTCCCCTCAACTGCTGTTGATTCGACCTTGGCTGGAGGACGGGTGGACCGGAAGGAGACGGTGGTTTCCTTGGTAAGGGCAATGGAAGAGTGGTGACTGGAAGGGGAAGAAGTTGACGGGGAAACGGAGGTGCCTCGGGCAGAGCTGACCTCCGGTTTCCCTGTGGAAGAGCCAGAAGGCGGGTGTTGAGTTGTGGTCTCCTGCGGTGAGGTTCCTTTCGGCTGCATGGTAGAAGCGTGGGCGAGGGAGGGACGAGTTTGTTCCTTGGCGGAGGTTAGCTCAGTCATGCCAACAGTAGCTGTCGTGGTGACAATAGAGGCCACCGACTCTGCGGAGGACATGGTTTCTGGGACTGCAGTGCTCGAGCGTGTCGAATGGAGCGAAGAGGTGGTGCCTCCTTTAGCTGGGGTGGATTCTGCATGAATAGAAGAACTCGTGCCGTGGGATGCAATGGTGGTCTCTGAGGGAGACGATGGCGGCGAGGTCCGATCCGGAGAGGATACGGTCGGCATGGAAGGAGACGTGGCGAGGGGAGATTCGGATGCTGGGGAAGCTGTTTTGGTCACTTCTGCTGAGGTCAGCTCGGCCTTAGTGGGAGAAACCTTGCTGAAGGTTGGCGTGGTTTGACCTTCAAGAGACGTGAAGCTGGTCTCCACAGTGGAAGGCGACCTCATCGGGGTGGAACCGGTCACCTCCAGAGTCGAGGTTCTGAGCTGCACAGCCGTAGGAGATGTTGCCGAAGAGAGGGAAGGGCTGGTCCCCTCAACTGCTGTTGATTCGACCTTGGCTGGAGGACGGGTGGACCGGAAGGAGACGGTGGTTTCCTTGGTAAGGGCAATGGAAGAGTGGTGACTGGAAGGGGAAGAAGTTGACGGGGAAACGGAGGTGCCTCGGGCAGAGCTGACCTCCGGTTTCCCTGTGGAAGAGCCAGAAGGCGGGTGTTGAGTTGTGGTCTCCTGCGGTGAGGTTCCTTTCGGCTGCATGGTAGAAGAGTGGGCGAGGGAGGGACGAGTTTGTTCCTTGGCGGAGGTTAGCTCAGTCATGCCAACAGTAGCTGTCGTGGTGACAATAGAGGCCGTCGACTCTGCGGAGGACATGGTTTCTGGGACTGCAGTGCTCGAGCGTGTCGAATGGAGCGAAGAGGTGGTGCCTCCTTCAGCTGGGGTGGATTCTGCATGAATAGAAGAACGCGTGCCGTGGGATGCAATGGTGGTGTCTGAGGGAGACGATGGCGGCAAGGTCCGATTCGGAGAGGATACGGTCGGCATGGAAGGAGACGTGGCCAGGGGAGATTCGGATGCTGGGGAAGCTGTTTTGGTCAATTCTGCTGAGGTCAGCTCGGCCTTAGTGGGAGAAACCTTGCTGAAGGTTGGCGTGGTTTGACCTTGAAGAGACGTGAAGCTGGTCTCCACAGTGGAAGGCGACCTCATCGGGGTGGAACCGGTCACCTCCAGAGTCGAGGTTCGGAGCTGCAAAGACGTAGGAGATGTTGCCGAAGAGAGGGAAGGGCTGGTCCCCTCAACTGCTGTTGATTCGACCTTGGCTGGAGGACGGGTGGACCGGAAGGAGACGGTGGTTTCCTTGGTAAGGGCAATGGAAGAGTGGTGACTGGAAGGGGAAGAAGTTGACGGGAAAACGGAGGTGCCTCGGGCAGAGCTGACCTCCGGTTCCCCTGTGGAAGAGCCAGAAGGCGGGTGTTGAGTTGTGGTCTCCTGCGGTGAGGTTCCTTTCGGCTGCATGGTAGAAGAGGGGGCGAGGGAGGGACTAGTTTGTTCCTTGGCGGAGGTTAGCTCAGTCATGCCAACAGTAGCTGTCGTGGTGACAATAGAGGCCACCGACTCTGCGGAGGACATGGTTTCTGGTACTGCAGTGCTCGAGCGTGTCGAATGGAGCAAAGAGGTGGTGCCTCCTTCAGCTGGGGTGGATTCTGCATGAATAGAAGAACTCGTGCCGTTGGATGCAATGGTGGTCTCTGAGGGAGACGTTGGCGGCGAGGTCCGATCCGGAGAGGATACGTTCGGCATGGAAGGAGACGTGGCCAGGGGAGATTCGGATGCTGGGGAAGCTGTTTTGGTCACTTCTGCTGAGGTCAGCTTGGCCTTAGTGGGAGAAACCTTGCTAAAGGTTGGCGTGGTTTGACCTTGAAGAGACGTGAAGCTGGTCTCCACAGTGGAAGGCGACCTCATCGTGGTGGAACCGGTCACCTCCAGAGTCGAGGTTCTGAGCTGCACAGCCATAGGAGATGTTGCCGAAGAGAGGGAAGGGCTGGTCCCCTCAACTGCTGTTGATTCGACCTTGGCTGGAGGACGGTTGGACCGGAAAGAGACGGTGGTTTCCTTGGTAAGGGCAATGGAAGAGTGG